GAAACAGATTGGCTTTAGGAAAAAAGGTCTTTAAATAGTGAAATTGGCTCCTTTGGAAAGTGTCGAACACTTCCACGTTTGGATTTGTAGCTTTTTCAAGGCTGCATTTTGAGTAAGATTGCATGCTCCTCCTTGTGTCTAATTACAGCAGGATAATACTAAACTGTCCATGTTAAAAATGAGGGATACTTGGCTTAAATGAGCTAAATCTGCATGAAGCAGTAATCTTTTGAATTTGGTCTGGTGGATTATTACCCTCTCCCTATGTGAACTTGATTTGCTATGTTTAGGGTTTTATTGAGAAATTACTGATTATTTATTCAGGCAGAATAAATGACACTACCATGTTTGATTATCAACCCAAAGTAAGCATTGGTGTGGGGATTCAAAGATTTGAGTGTTTTCTTGCATTGTAGATGTATATTCTTTCAGGGCAAATTCCCTGAACTCTGATACTGAGTATTAGGTTTAATGCAGATAACCTTGGTTCAAATGAATTTGAAGTTTTAGAATTGAGTTTTAGAATTGTGCTTTAATGAAAAGCAGTGAGTCTTTTTCTATATTTTGTATTTTAAAGCTTTCTGAGAATTTGTAACCATTTCAGTTTGATCAATGACTAAATATTTCAATACGTGCGAATCTCCAGAATGTATGTGACAAAGCTGGGTTGGGAAGAACATGCGCAAAATAGTCTAAATCTTTGGTATGCAAAGTGGGGTGTGGGCACATGAAGAAAGTATTTTTGTACTATTAAGTAAAATAAAAATATTTTTAAATGGTGTTTATTTCATCCTTTTTAACTTCTATATTTGTATGCTTTATAAGGTACGTAATATATTAACACAGTAATACATGTGTATAATTTATAAATACATATGAATATACTGGGGGTGCATGCTCAAATGTTTTTCTGCTAGAAGTGCATGATCAAAGTTTGGAGACCACTGGTCTAAACGACTACTGACACTATGAAAAGTTACTATTTGTACATGTGTTCATCAAAGATGCAGCTATTCTAAAAATAAAACTGCAAAACTAACTTCTGTGAAATGCTGCCTAGGCTAGATGAATGAAAAACCTTTTCTAAACTGGTGTTAAATGAGGCAGTTAATGAACTATTTGTTCGCTTATGGCAGTCACGCTGTCTACTTGAGAGTAACTTTGTTTTTCTACTTCATTAGGCATAGAAGGAATATTTTAAAGCACTGACACTGTTAATTGTAGCATCTGAAAACAAACCTTTTGGTGTCTCCTTGTAGCAAACATTTGGTTACTGAGAAGTATTTCTAATGTAATTTTTTTAGGAATAATGCACGATATCTTTGGAAAAGAATCCCTCCTGCTATCAAATCTGTAAGTACTTTGTAAAATGCCATTTGATACTAAAACAGTTAGATGTAAGCTTGCAAATAATGACTTTCCCCCCAAGGATTCTGTTTTAGTAGCCTTGGAGTGCTGTGAACTGCTTGCCCAACAGATGGCATGTTAGTCTTTAAGATCTCCTAGTTGTTCATCTGCTACCTCTTTTCCTTAACAAATAATCTGGTGCAACAGAATTCAGTAAACCTGTAGACTTTTTAATAGAAAGACTTGTGATAAAGGGTAGTCAGCTGGAGGAAAGCAATGGGTCTGACTCTGGGATGGGGCAGCATTCCACCAGAGGGTGCAGGATACCTTGTGTAATGAAAAGTGACTTCAGGTAAGTTGCATCTTCAAATTGATTAACTTTCTGAAGGCACTTGTTTTGCACTGCATTTGGATCAAAGATGCATTTTAAGGATTTAGCTAAATATAATACAAGAAATGCTTCCAGACTTTACTGTTGTTAGGTTATTAGTTTGAGATCAAACTAGGGCCACAAAAATGATCAGAGGGATGGAACACCTCTCCTGTGAGGAAAGGCTGAAAGAGCTGGGGTTGTTCAGCTTGGAGAAGGTGGCTGCAGGGAGACCTTATTGCAGCCTTTCAATACTTAAAGGGGGCTTATAAGAAAGATGGGGATGGACTTTTTCACAGGGCCAGTAGCGATAGGACAAGGGGTAATGGTTTTAAACTAAAAGAGGGTAGATTCAGACTAGGTATAAGGAAGACATTTTTTACGATGAGGGTGGTGAAACACTGGAGCGAGTTGCCCAGAGAGGTGGTAGATGCCCCATCCTTGGTAACATTCAAGGTCAGGCTGGATGGGGCTCTGAGCAACCTGACCTAGTTGTAGATGTCCGTGCCAGGTGCAGGGGGGATGGACTAGATGACCTTTAAAGGTGCCTTCCAACCCAAAGCATTCTATGATTCCGTCATATTTTACACAGAAACAAGTGTTCTGTAGTCCTGTATTAAGAAGCCTCACAGTCAAGATGGGACCTGTCAGGTGGTTCTGAAATAATTTTCTTTCTCTTTCAAGAAAAAAATAGTTATATTGGTTAAGTCAATAGTCATCTGAACCAAATTTTACTTGGCCTTTCTCTGAAGCCTGCTGTATTGGTTGCACAGCAATATTCTGTGAATAATTTGGCTTTTTTGGTGTAACTTGAATTTCATGTGAAGCATCATTCTTGGGGGAAACTCATTGCATGAATTATTTTGGGAAGGTTACAGCTCAAAGCATAGTATTTTCTTAAGTGTGTGTGTGTTGATGAGTCTCTTCTACTAATTGTGTCAGGTAATTATTAGTGTGAGTCAACTTCAGAAACAAATTGGTTCTCCTTATAATTGAAAATATTACTTTATTACCCAGTTTGGTGTTTGATTGCTATTCTGATAGGCTGTTCTAGAGTCCAGTTGACCAAATGATGATGTGTAACACAGTAGAAGTAGCCCTTAAAACCAGTAGTGGGAGGGCAGTTGTAGTGAGTATGGCACCATGACCCATTGTCAAGATTGCAAGATGAAATTTCAAGTTGAAAATCGCCTTCACTGTGCAAACAGCCTCAGCACTTGATAAAGCTTCTCCTGAAGAGGCAAGCATTCCTCTAAGCAGAAAATAAGCTGTGCCTGTCTTTTTGCAACTCCAGTCAGTAGCCAGCATGCAGACTACCCTCCATGATTGTTTTAGCTGGTATGCTCACCTGGATTGGTATAACCGACATGTGAGCAGACTTTGCGTACATAGGTGATAAAGTTTTGGGAGAGGATGAATCAGGGAACTTGCAGCAGAGATACCTGCTGGAACAAGATTTCCCAATGCTTGTCTGTTCATCATTACAGGTAGTGTGATAAACCCTTGCAATGGGAAAAGGAGGGGAGTGGAAATGGGTTTGTACAGAATGGTCACTGTAGAGAATACACCATTCTGAATTAACTGTTTGGGTTTTTTTTGTCACAACAGGCAAATGCTGAACTTGGTGCAGTTTGGTCAGTAGGACAAAGAATCTGGCAGAGAGACTTTCCAGGAATCTATACAACAATCAGTGCGCATCAGTGGTCTGAGACTATTCAACCAATCATGGAAGCACTTAGAGGTACAAATTAAACTCCTGGAGGTAGCATGGAATTATTTCTGTGTGCTCAAACGCAGACAAGTAGACAAATGACTGATTATTATGAAAAATGAGAAGTGGTCAGGAAGGTTGTTGCCAAGTTTTTGTAGGTTTTACTTAAATGATTTTAGGTATCAGATGTAAATAAAAAGCTCATTACAAAAACTTGTAGAAACTGAAATGTTTTTATTAATTAGGATTGTATGTGATTGTGTATTCTTTCATATTGGAATTTCATACACCATATGTTTTGTTCTGGAATAGCAAAATGACCATTAGTTATCCAGTTTTATCAGACTTTTAACCAGTAATCTAGGGAACTTGGCTTGGCATTTCAGAACCTTATGAAAATGTTTGTTTTAAATGTGGCTTTAGTCAAATGTTTTAGTTACAGACTGCAACAGTAACATGCAAAGTCTTACTACTAGAGGGCAGTACAGGCTGCTAAAAAGCCTTCCAAGGTATTTTGCAGTAACAAATTCTCTGCAGCTGTAGAAATGACTGATTTGCAGATGCCTTGGTATCAAAGCAGATGGAGTTGAAAAGGCATGAGTAGTTTGAGTAATTGCTTTTTTCATGATTTCTTTTTCTGATTCTGAACTATTTGACACACAAGCAAATGGAGAATGCCATTGGAAGCAGTTTCCTAAATTGGTTTACATACTAGTGGTAGTACCCCAGACACTGCAAACTGCATTTGTAATTTAAATGTGGTCTCTGAGGGGTTTTGTCCTGGTATAGAGCAAGCTGTTGTCTCTGGCTGCTGACTGGTACTTCAGTGAATTGTGGGAAGGGAGGGGGGAACTTCTGAAGTGCTAGCTTTAAGGGCGGTAGTGGTTTTCCAAATGTATTCAAATTGGACAAATTTTCTCAGATTTCCTCGTTATGGAGATTAGTTTACTGTCTGCTTATAGTGTTTATATCTTCTTAGATGCAACTAGGAGACGAGCCTTTGGACTGGTTTCTCAGGCATATACCTCAATAGTTGCAGATGATTTTGCAGCCTTTGTTGGGCTTCCTGTAGAAGAAGCTGTGAAAGGTATTTTGCATTTATTCACTGAACAGTTTTTCTACAGATGATTGAGATCAGAGAGCTGTAAGTAATGGTAAATATAACAGTCTCACAATTTGTATATGTTTCTAAAGAGAAGTGATGGGGCAGTGAATAGAGAAAAATGTCTTGGTTCTGGATAAGTGTTTGGTTTTTTTATTATTTGCCACTAGTTGCCATTGGTTATCCTCCCCTTCTACATGTGGAAGTGTTAAAGCAATTCAGCAATGAGAAAAGACTGAAGGTAGTAGGTTAACCTAGTTTTGTGTGCTGTTATTACTTCCAGGAGCTTATTTGTCAAACTAAATGTCTAAATGCTTACAAGAAATATGTCTTAGAGTTGAGGCATATAGGCAGTGTACTGAGTTGCTTTTGTACTGGTCTTAATGTGCATCTTTATTTTGCATTTCTAGCAATTATATAAGGTATTTGTTCTTACAAATGTAAAAATGCCTTTTCAGGTGTATTAGAACAGGGCTGGCAAGCAGACTTTTCAACTCGTATGGTAATGCCTAAAAAGCCAGGTAGGTGGAGCTGTTACTTCATTAGACAACAAGTTTAGCATTTTCTAGTAATGAGATGCTAGTTTTTAATTAAAATTTTGCACAATATTCGTTTAGATATTTTTATGGGGCTTATGCCACTGTAAAGCATGGAATGTTTATAAAATGTAAGAAGTACAGAGTAGTGGGTTTGGTTTGGGGTTACAAGTAGTTTGGATTAAACTACATCCTCAAATTAACTTCTTTAAACAAAAGCAGACAGGATATGCTGTGATTTCTCCTGCTCCTCCTCTGCTGCTGGCTCTGGCTCAGTGGAACATAAGTTGGATGACCTCAAATGACATGTCTTAATCTAATAAAGACGAGTAAAAAATATACCATTTTGAACCTGAGATTTTTTCAGAAGTAGAACTTCTTTGGGCTGGGATCTAGTGGGTCTTTGTGTTCTGAGGAGCTCAAGTTGTTGGTTTAATTTCCTTTGCTTTTTAAAACTTACTCTATTGGATCTTTTCCTCACTGTCATGATGTTGTTAAAAAATACCTGTTCTTGCAAAGCTCAGTCTGTAAAAATACTTGGTTTTTTTTGCTAAAGCATTATCTGTGGCTGGCTAAGGCAAAAATAAATGTTAAGCTGTGAAGGCAGAGATGAAATGACTGCTCTTAAACTGCACGGTGCAGCTCTGGAAGGAGCCAAAGCATAGCATATCTAACAGGGCAACATCTATTAGGCTAAGAAAAAAATATTGTTGCATGGGCAGCATTGTCGGGTGTTCAGAGCCCAGAACATTATAAATATGTGCCAGGCAAGGTGTTAAAATTTATCCTTTGGGGAACATAACCAACCAGAGCCCTGAGCTGTTGTATGTGATCAGTTTTTTTCATGAACTCGTTGCGAAATATGCAGTGGTTACAAGTACTGAGAGTTACTTACATGTGGTTCTTTTTCCAAAAGTGAGCCCAAGAACTATTTTAGAGGCAAAAGAAAGAGGCAGGAGGTTGTCATTTGTATTGAAGCTGTGTGTCTAACCAGCTAAGCCTTGGGTATTCTGCTTTTTTAGCTATGAAGTAAAACAAGTAAATGAACAGGCTTAATTTTAATTACATTTTTATTGAGTTTTGGCTTGATATATAGAACTGTTTAAAATTGGTCCACTGGGCTAACTTCTATTGTGTTTTTCTTCAGGTGTGCTGGAAGCTTCCTTTAACAGATTTATTCCTTCATCAGGTACTTCCTGTTTATATGTAATCTACTTGCATGTTTCTAAAACTTGCATGACTAATATAAACACAATTTCACCAGCACCACAAAATAGGAATTAGGTCCTAAACAAATGAATGTTGTCATTCCTCCCTCAAAAAAAAAAAAAAAACTAAACAAACCCCAATCAAGTGCTGTCTTCTTTCCTCTCACATTTTAAGGAGATTCTTACTTCCATAGCTGAAGAAGGGAGCTGATCCCAAAGCAGGGGTAGGCAGTCCCTGTAAAACAAAAAGGATTTTGGTGAAAACGTCTGACTTACAGGCAATTTCCTCATAAAGCAACTCTGAGTACCTTTTGTTGCTTTTGTGTGATGTGGGACTTCGGAAGTCTTCCCTGTAGAAGAAAACAATCTGGTTTTCCTCAGAGCTCAACTATAGATTGAACTTGTCTTCCAACCTATTGTTAAACTGTAATCTCAGGTTAGCTGGCCTTTATATAAGGATCTGCATGTGCACTGCATTCTCCTGCAACCATGCAGTACTTTGACGTGTTTTGTTAGTCAGATAACCTAGTTGATTTATTTGGTATCTTCAGTATGGCAACTTGTAAGCAAAGGAGCAACTGCAGAGCTCCAGGAGCTTTTTTGTCAAGTGGAAGTACTGTCAGTCTTCATTATTCAGACACCAGTATATGCAAAAAAAAAAAAATAAATTTGGAGACTGCTGACAACTGGAACCTGTTACAGCTATCTTTGCTGTTAGTAATCCTTGGACTACTTAATGTTGCAGATAACAGAAAAGTAATGTCAGCTAAAGCTAGGTAGGAGCTACAGTTAAGATATGCTCCCATAAGACTGTTTAACAGTCTGATGCATTTAATTTTTTCTTTACTGTTGTGATGGATGGTATTGCAGATGGATTTGCTTTCTTAATTTCATTAATGATGCATTTGTTTTATCTTTGTAGAACCTGCTCCAGTTCCACCAATTCCAAATGAACAGCAGTTGGCCAGATTGACTGACTATGTGGCTTTCCTTGAAAATTGATTTCCCTGCTCCTGTATTTAGAACAACTTGGGAATCCTGTGTGCTGACAGTTCTAGAAATCTAAGATTTACTTTATTTTTTCTGTTGAATGTTGCAGCATCCCCTACTCAAATGTGTGAAGTATGCAGCATATGTTATCCCAATTTGTGTTTTGCCAAAAGCCAAGCTAGCAGCTGAAACAATCCTTTAACTCCTGTAATATTTATTCAGTAGGTACACAGCAGTATTACATAGTAAGGTTTTTTATTGACTCACAGCAGAGAGGCAGGTATATTAGAAATGGAGAAGAAAGAGTAATGAAGCAGGTTAATTGCGTAGAGGAATTTATGCTAGTAGGTTATGTGCTTCTATGGTGAGTCATGCAGTGCTTACCACAGGTCAATTGCATGTTGAACTAAAGTACCAAGAGTGGAAGACTGCCTTACCCATATCTGCAGAGAGAAAATATTTTGATGAAACAGTAACTTAAAGAAGAAAGCAATTTACAGTAACTCTTTTGCAAGTATATTTCTGACATATTTATGATTGATCTTTTTTCTTGTTGGTCTTTCTGAATTGTTAAATCTTCTTGTTTTGATGTGAGAAATTTTACATTGAGCATATTTTTACAGCAGAATAATTGGAGTCATTTAAGAAAGGCAAATCTTTACTTTGAGGAAGAATTTTTACTTTTGAAAGGCTTTATTTGTAGGACACCAGATATTTTGCTGGGTAACCATACACCTTCTTGAGGCCTGTCATGTCTTGGTTCTTTTCAGTGCACTGGGCCAGGATCTACAAGAAAGAACAACTCTTACCTGCCTTTAACCTTTCTGGATTACCTCTGCAGTTATTAGAGAAATTTAAAAATTAGAGTAGGTGTCCCTGAGTAGAGACCAATTCGGATGGGGATGATATGTTATGCTGCAATGTCAGTTTGAGGAATACGTTTTCTGTATCAGAGCACTGCTGTGTTAATCTTTGAGTTGAGAGTGGATTTTAGAAGCAGAAAGATGACTTGTATTCCCAGGCTTCTTATTTGTATTATGCTGGTAAAAAGGCTATGGGAAGATAGTGGTGCTTTAAAGGGCAGTGCATGCCTTCATTCGCTTCTCCCCCCTTTTCAACATCATATTCAGTGGTTTCATCGAAGATGGCAAGTGTGCTGTATGTTCTGATTGTTTTTTCCAGTGTGCACTACCTACTGTACATTCTCTTGTTGGGGGATGTGTTAGCAGGGAGGAATTACAAACTGTGCACTGCTGCTTTGAGAACTCCCTTTATATGTAAACACTTACTCAAAGTGATTATTTATTTGAAACCCACCTAAGACTTGGATTTCTGAATTTTATCTTCAGTGATATTAAAGAACATGTTTACACTGACCTTGTGTACTTGATTTTTAATTTTCCTTATGGTACAGTTCTGGTTTGGCTGGTTTTAATGAACTCTTACTGGTATAATTTGGGTAGAGCTAGTTAAAGATTAGTGCAATATATTATGCCTGGACAGGTATTTTGAACAGCTTTGTGTGCAGCAATGGTATGGCTTTATATTAAAACCACTGGTACCCTTCAGATGTCTTGAAGTATTCAAAGGTGTAAAGTACTTGAAGAGCTACGTGAAAATTTCCCTTTCTGTGTATGTGTTGTGCAACTCTGTAGTTGTTTGTAACACACAAGAACAACCCTGCTTGCAGCAAAGAAAATTAGACATGATTAAAGGGTTACTAATGACTTGCAGTTAATAAATGGTAATGGGAGAAGAGCAATGTGGACACTGGTAATCTGTGTATCTCAAATCTAGTATCAAATCTCTCTCAAATGTGGTCAGTTTGACTCTTCTCTGTCCAGTTCTAACAAGTTCATAATTTTGAGATATTATCTGGTCTACTCTAAAACTTAGGCTGGCTTTTAGCTTTGGTTATGGCATTAACTCCTAACTTGCCTTGAGTACTGTGCTCCCAGCTGTGCTTTTTTGTTTGTACTTCTTTGGAACCCAAGCTATTTCAGATCGTTTTCATCCTCATTGCCCTTTATCATGATTTCTGGTTCACAAATATCCTTTTTTAGATGGGCTGCTTGTTGCCACTCTTACTAGTCATGTAGTGGACATAGCATGGCTTGTAACAACAGCAGAATGTTTTGTTTGTTCCTGATCCTTTCTGAGACTGGCTCTGTTCTAACATCTGTTGACCACTGCCTCATTCTTAGTGTAGTAATGACAATGACTTCAGGATCTTTCATCAGCAGTAATAACTAGGTTGGTGTACAGCATTGCATGTCCTTGTTGAGGATTTTCCCCTCTGGTTAGTGCAATGCATGCATGGATAACAAATGGACAGTGAAACAATAGAAGAAATTTCAGTGTTATAAGACACTTCTGGTCTTCATGATCAGGCTTGCTTTTGACTTCTTGAATAACTTTATAGTGTTGGCATTGTTGCCTTGCTAACCTAAGAACTTTTATCAATGTTGAGCATAACAGGTATTAACAGCGATTTATGGTAGCCTCCTCCACTATGAAAACTGACGACCTGCTACTTACCCTTAGCCAGTCCTTTCCCTTTTAGTCTACTAGTTTGTGTAGTTTTGGAAAAATCTGTTGTATATGAAGTAGACCACTTAATCCACATTTGTTGATCCTTTGCAGAAAAAGTAGATTTGAAGCTGCCTATAGAACCAAACAACACTTCCTGAATACTCTTCTATGTATTTTTACTGTTTCTCCTTTTTACTAATGAAACTGCTGCCTGATTCCACTGTCTAGTCACTCATCTTGGTTTTCTGGTTTTAAATGCGCAGGTGAGGAGCAGGCTAAGTTTAAGTCTTGGTAAAGGAGCTAGAGGTATTAAATGTTGGAGAAGTAGGAGTGTTACAGCCCAATGGAATACTTTGTTTCGTGTCTGGAAAGGCAAATGGCACAAGTTGCTTTATGGATGTTAATGTGAAGTAATACTGGAATAGGTCTTAATCTACTACCAATGATACAGCTTAAAACAAATGGCTTTGAGGGATGTTGATAACTGTCATGAGACCTTTAATGGACTTGCTCAGCATGTATTGAGCTAATAAAGTCAAATTTTTACTTTTACTGTTCTTAAAACTAGTGAATGATTTTATCCTGCAGCTGGTTCACAGTACCTATAAATAGGAAATTTACATCCAGTGACAAGTTTATTGTGGTTCTTTGTGGAGATTGTGTGATACATTGTCATGAATGGTTGCTAATGAAATTCACAATTGGATTTAATGGCTGAAGACAAATGCAGCTTTTCCATGTCAGCAGAGGGTTACTAGGTAGAGAGACAGATGTTACTGTATAGCATAGTTTCTCTAATTAGATGAAGACGACTTAACCAGTCTCTGAAATGTAGTGAGAAGTCTGTCTATGGAGCTGTGGTTAACCTAGCAAGCAAAGATATAAGATGAGCTTGATAGAAAAGGTAGGAGAGTTCAGTTCTCTTGAAGGCAGTGAGTCATCTCAGTACAGTAACTATTTTTAGGCTTGCTCTAACTCATATTATGATCTTCAGTTGAGTGTACTTTGATACTATGGAAAAGTGTAAGCAACTTCCTGACACATGGCATTACAAAAGCCAAAATCAGACATATCCGTAGAAAAGTGTTTTGTTTTTTTTTTCTCTTTTGGCTTGGGCCTATCTTGTGCTAAAATATTGCAGTCTCAAAGGGGTCAATAACAAAAATTCTGCTAGGCAGAAATGTTAGTCCATTTGTTTGATATGATCTGTGTTAAAGGATTTCAGTTTACACTTTCACTGCTCTGGCAAGCCTAGCATAGCTTTGTGCTTCCCTGTCCAGAGCCCTGTCCTGGTAAACAGATTGTGTAAATTATTTCCGAAAGTGACATCTTTCAGCATTTGAATACTTACCTGGGCTGCTTTAACCCTGTGCTTTCAACTTGCCAAAAAGGAAGTATTTTTGTGGTTGTATTTGCTTTTTCAGTTGAAGCGACTGGTGTGGGTTTTGGAGTTCTTCCAAATTCTCTTCCATCCGCAGTGCTGGAACAGTGCTGGAGTGGGAGGACCTTTGGGTTAAGAAACCATTAAGAATTCATCTGGGAGCAGAGGTTCTTGAAGGATTTGAAAAAAGAAGTTCCATTTCAGTTTAGTGTTTTCCATTTTCATCTGCATCCCACATGTAATTTAAGATTGTTTCTTTGCATTTTATTAGCCTCTCCTATATAGGTTAGGGATGTTAATTTACCTGCAGTTTCAGTCTCTGTAGAAAAAGCTGTTTCAGCTCAAAGGTGGTTAAAAAAGGAGAAACTGGGTATGGAGGCAGAACAGTAGAGCACGCCTCCCTGCTGAAGATTCTCACGGAAACCTTCCATAGGCTTTAATAACAAAGCCTAGCAGATTTTCCAGGACCTGATCAGAGCTGTCAGTAGCTCAGTTAAGAAAATGAAAGCAGAATGCACATGTAGGAAAATGTCTCACTGGGCATTGCAGGAGAACGGTACTGGTGTTGCTGTACTGTATTTTGATTGATCCTGCTACAGATATCATGCTTAGATAATATTCTTCGTTGTTTTAGTAATCTGGATTCATTCTGAAACCCAATGGAGGTTTTTCTGCGTTGCTAATCTATAAAGTGTGTGCAGAAACAGGCCAATCCATTTTCTGAGCATTTGAGAAGCTCCTTTTAAGGGTGAAAAGGGCATCAGCTCAGCTTAGTGCTAATTATTCCTCTGGTGGCCTGAGTTTATTCAGGTGACTGGTTACAGTAGTAGCAGGCACAAGATAATAAACCACTGTGCTTTGGACATCTCATTGGCTTCTTTCCTCTCCCCACAAATATCTTGCAGGGCTTCCAGAATGAATGCTGCAGATTGATTATTCAAGTCAGTCATAAGAGTTCTGCTGAGGCAAGGAGAGAGCTGTATTCTAGCAACCGATGTATGTGCAATAAAACGCTGTGTAAGACAGTCGGGGAAATCTGGAAAAAGGTGGGTGGTTTGTTCTGCCTGTGTCCTACCTTGCTGGAGTTGGCTGAGCCATCATGCAGGCAGCATGTTGGTGTTTTCTTACTTCTAGGAAGGACTGTGTGGGCTGGCTAGTTTGGCCCTTCCAGTTCCAGAGCCACAAGCAATTCAAAGCATCTGATGCCCAGAGCCTGGCTTCCTGCCTTGAGAGAAGCAGGCCCGAAGCCCTTATAAGGTGTCTGAGACTATTAATATGTGTTTGATAACATCCAAGAGTGACTAAAATAATAGTAAAAAGAAAGGGCTCACAAGA